GCTAAATAGAGTACACTTGTATAATGGCAAGGGGCCCTATACCTTCCCTGTAATTGTTTGATTAGATTTTAAAGGCAACGTTAAGCTTAATTAGAATTTTGAAGATTTAATTACCAAAGAAATATTGTCAAGTGAGGACAACTCCTAAGGCCACACTTCCCAGTAGAGGTGACACTTTTTTAAGATGTTTCTATGCAATTTATTGATTCTTTATTTGGTAGTGGATAACTAAGAGGAACAAGGAACAAAGTGATAGCGAGGTGGTGCGTAAACCACAAAAGATCCCAATTGGAACCAAATCTAGATCGACAAATAACTTTGCTAGCCAGGCGCTCCGAGGTGATCCATTTCTGACTTTTTCAATTGACATATGGCGCAGATCAGATATGCGTTTTGAACGAGGAATGTGTTTGATTTATGTTTCTATATTTATTTGGCTGATATGCGGGCTTTATTGTGTAACCGCTGATCATATTAGTCGTGCTGATTTATTGCTTGCTTTATCATTTAGATATCAGAACTGATTTTTGATACTTTAAAACATCTGAGTTTGGTAATTCAATCTGATAATAATAATAATCTGCTAATGCAACTCTCATCCAAACACATTGATTGTTTGGCCTGCCAAGACTTTTAGCAAGAAACCACATGACATCATAATCTACAACTGATCAATCCAATACATTTAAGTCATAATTGGAGCATTGTGTCAAACATTCCCTGGTTTCAGATTCTTAATTTACGTACATATCTTAAGGTTTTGAACAAAAACAATGTTTTTTTTTAAATGTGCTGTTGGTTTGAACTAAATAAATCTTGCCGTTTCCAATTAGCAGCTTGTTTTTGAGGGCCTTGTGGACAGCATATCACTTGGAACTCCAAATTTGGTGACTTTTTGTCGAGTTCATTAATAGAAATATGACATGGTCCTCTATGGGCTGAGAGAATTCTGCGACCTCTGGATGGGATCCTTTCAAAGTCCCACTGGATGACCTCATAAATGTGTGGTGGTCCAACACAAATAAAAGGGTTGCTGGACAAACATTTGATGTTTGGGAGATGTTTTCTTCTGACATCAGTGATGACATGGGAATGCTAGTTTGGCGTGGATTTTTATGGATTTAAAAAGTTCAAACCAATAACAAGAAGTGACCAGAACACCAGACACTCATTGCACAAGATAATGATGATGATGATGATGATGATGATGATGATGATGATGATGATGATGATGATAATAAAAAGGCAAACACCTTTGTGAATGGCAACCAGATGCATGGACACAAAGACACAAATCACCACAGTAAAGGTTTGCATGAAGACAGATACAACAATAAGATACTAAATAAATAAAAGAAAACAAGTGTGGGCATGGGGTTCAGAAATAGCAAGAGAGACAGAGGAAGAAAATTGTATGACCAACTTAAAAAAAAGGGGAAGTAAGCAACAGACAATATGAAGAAAGACACAGGAAAAGGAAGTGTGTACCAACTGGCAACAAGAAGAAGAAAATAAAAAAAGTCTCAAATCCTGACAGAGCACAAGTCAATATCTGAAAGGTGGAGTTTTTCTTAATCTCCGGGTTGGGACCCCAAATATAGTTCCAGATTGCCATGTCTGAGACCTGATACTATTGGTCCTTTTTTCCATGGTGAAGCAGAATACAACTGCTGCTTATGTTATCAAATCTCTGAATACATGTCAGATCATAGATTAAGAATGAGGATGCCTGTGATTTGTGAGGGGGTTTGTACACTAAATGTGTTTTTAGCTGTTTAATCATACTTTTCCTCCTCATACTTGGTTTGTTCAGTCACGTAGGATAAAAGATAAAGGCTTTTACACCAACCTCGCCCAGACCCTTACAAAAAAATCTCACTTCCGTTTCAAAAGGCTTTCTTTTTTTCTGTGAACAGTGTGTAATTCGAACCAGCTTCAAGAATGGACCTCAAAACACAAGGATTTATGAGGATAAAAGGAGATGGATGTTGACATTTGATAGCCAGCAGTTCCACATGCTCGGACACACCAAATGGAAAACAGAGAAGAAATGCAAAGAGGTCCGCTTTCAAAGAAGTATGACACCTCATTCAACCTTTATTTCTAGTTTAAAAAGCACCTTCTTGTGCAATAACTTCACCCTAAGCTGTCCAGTATGATTAATTTGCATTTACTACAAAGTGAAGGAGACTTAAAAAATCTGTTGAAGAATATCCTCTCTGTTCTGCTGTACATTGACACAACAGCCATTTCTGCTTTTCTGTGTCTCTTCCTCCTAAAAGTGCTGGCCAGAGGCAACACCTTATATGGTCATAAACAGGAATTATATAAGAATCATATAAGTCCTGAAAGGAATATTAAAGCTAAATCTTACACTAAGGTTGTGCTTTACAAGATAATATATAAACCGAAGACTACTACTGCACTGCTGTAGGAGTAGCATGTAGGAACTTCATTGTGTCAGTTTATACATAAACATACCATCAAGTACAGCAAGGTCACTATAAACTCAAAAACCACAAAGACACTGCGTGAAAAGGAAAGGAATCGTACAGTGATTTCTTTGTTTTAATGTCCCAAATACCAGCTGAATTGTACTGTGTCACTATATCTGTCTGGAACATATTATGGTCTGGGTTGAGTTCTATTTGTAGGCTTACATGGGTAAGGCAAGGCCATAACTCTGTCAAAGTTTAGAGTTTTGTTCCGATGTTGAACATTTAGGAACTCATAGTCCTATGAGGAACAGCAGCCACTGTACTTTCCACTTTTTAATTTATAGTAACCTGTAAACCTAAGATACCGAGAGGGACTTAAGATGCTAAGACATACATTCAGCTATATGGTACAATTTCAACAACTTGCCTTTACCTTCATTATAAGGTTGCAATCAAGTATCATTATTTTCAAAAACATGTTCTCATTTTAAAAAGTACTTCTGGATTTGACTGTTACTTGTCACTTATGTTGGTCATTAAACTAAAAAAACTGAAACGCAGCAGAACAACATACCTTAGGTTTCATACCCTCTATGTCTAGCAAATGGAGTGGGGATGCACCAATCCAATCTGCAACAATACCGACTTTATTATGTGAATTGATTATTGGCTAGACATGACCAATCTATATTACATGGTTCTCTTGGTCAGTGTGATTAAATGTTGTATTTCTGCTATCATTGACATTGACACATTTTACATCAGGCCTTCAACTCAGTTTTTAGCCCAACAACCATCCCAGGCCTTTTATCCATGGAAAGCAAAGATGGAAATCAGTATGTTCTAAAATAACAGATTCAGGATATAGAACAAAGAATATTAAACTGCATCATATCACTAGCAGTTAATGTTTTTGAACCATTAACCAAAAAGAGGGCAAGGCAACAAAAGGAATTACCAAATAATCTTTGGTTTTGTGTTGGGTAATTGAGTGTGTTTATGCAGATTAACATTACACAAACCTACCAACTGACTCTGCAGACTGGCAGCATTAAGGCTACAAACAAACCATTAATGGTTCGACACGTGTTTAAGTAGAGGGCGCTGTGCAACATAAAAGCCAGTCTTCACTTCTTCCAAAGAGATCACCTGCTTATAAAAATACTTTATTTTTGTGCTGGATTCTACAGCGACAAAGGATGCAATGTTATCCAAGGAGTCAATGGATTTGTAGAGACAGAGCTTGCATTTTTTATCAGAAAAAAATGGAGGCCTTAGAGCCATTTCTACATGTTGTTGAGGTTAGCACCAAGCACTAGAGAGAAGCATAATTCTCAAACTAGCAAATTGCTACCTAGAAAGCTAGCATACTCACTAACACAAAACAAAAACAGACATTTACAACATCAACTGATTCTGTAACACTGATAACCGACAGCAAATTCCCCTATGGGTCGTTAGATTAGGCATTCATTCAGCCAGATAAGTAACTTATCAAACATAATTAGCTTTAAAGCTAACTAGGACAGCTTCCTTCAATTTTTCAATCATATATGTACTTTTCCCATCTTTAAGTATTTCACAGAAGGTGCACAATAAGGCTTTGTGAAGGCGTGTACAGCAGAATTGTTGCAAAATGTGGCTACTTCACTACAAGTGGTAGCAGAGAGATTTAATGCGCATGTACAGTATGGAACCCAACAGTCAAGTGGACATTAGCCTATAAACAGAAGAACTAAGCATCAGTGGTGTCAGCAGCTGTATGTGTCCAATTGGGAGTACTACCATGGCAAGACAACGTGCCATTTGTTGCCAAGACCAAATGTGTTTCAGAAAGTCAGAAATACAAAATAAATAACTTGTTGCAGTTTTTATGCTAGGACTGCATTTACACAAATTCAGTTTGATGCTAAATGTTATTGTCACATGCTTGTTTGTCATCGGCCTCGACGACCTGTGTTACAACTGAACCCTTTCTCCCCTATGAAACATGCCTTGAAGGTTCCATGGTTATCAACGAAGGAAAGACTAGTCCCTTTCTTTCCCCCACACACACACACTTACTAAACATGACAACTAAAAGAAGGTAATAATGACAGAAGGAAAACTCAAATAAAGTAACAAACCCATGTTTACTCCTTCTAGAGTTGTCTACCAATAAGCTGCTTGTCTGTTTTTCGGCGTCCTGTTTTATGTTAACGTTAAATAAAATAAAAAAGAGCAGCTAAAGACAGAGCGCTTGACAGAAACATGGTGTCATTAAGACACCGTACGAACCCGTTTAAAAGAAACATTAAAACACGGAAAGGTGACAAGACAATGGTTCGCTCGACTCCTTCTCCTCTTTTCCCCAAAGATTTTCTCTCTGCTTCCCGTTTTTGAGAAGGAAGCAAGGAAAGGAGAGAGGGGAGGAATCACGGAGACCGACCTTTTCCTCAACACCGCGGAGCGAGGAACAGCCCCGCCGCTGACTGGAGACCAGGGAAGGGGGAAATTAAACTGGAAGAGCACCCCTCCCCTCCCCGTGTTCAAGCTGGTTTCAGCAGCCGATCAGATACTCACAATCTTGGCATTAATAAGGTCCGGAGGGCGGTATCCGCTGCGCTTTCGGAGGCACATCCGTGTGGCTTTTCTCTTCCTCCGCACCGGGGGGTTGGTGCGTGAATTTTTTTAATTTTTTTTTTATAAATATCCTGCCGCCGCCGCCGCTGTGTCGGAAGAAGAAGGAGTCCGCCTCAGTCCTCCCCCCTTCTGCTGCTCTCCTCTTGCTCGGGTTTTTCCCAGAGAGAGAGAGTGGTAGAGAGACCGAAAGAAAGAGTGTGTGCGCGCGTGTTTGCGTGTGTGCGTGTGTGTGTGTGTGCGTATGTGTGTGCGTGTGTGTGTGTGTGTGAAAGAGAGAGAGAGAGATCACCGCCCTAGCGGACAGAGGCGGCAGAGCGCATGCGCGGATTCACACGGGGAGACTGGAGTTCTCTATAATAAAACTTTATATACTGTACATTCACTTGTATTTGTTGTAGGCTACATGTTGTTAAACATCGTAAAAGATTGTATAAAGCAATAATTCATGGATACATTTAACACACATTTTGTTTTACTTTTACTTTACATTATAACACTATATATAAAGTATTACCGGTAGTAGCCTATGTAAATGATGTTATATATTTGTATGCATCCAATTAAAAAATATGGCTGCAGTTTCATATATTGTGTGAAAAGCTAATCTTATTGGTATGCAGCTGTTCATATATATAACATGTATGTTAAACAAATATGATAAAAGTGCCACGCCTGCAGTTTTCTGAATACTACATTTTAAACACTCAAGAGCACATCACAATAAACTTTCATACACTGTCCACATGTTATCACCACTAAACTTGGGACTGTTATGATACAGTAATTTAACTTTTTGACACTAAATAAGAGAACAAATTACTTCTACAATGTTTTTAGTGTTTAAATTCCCTAATCATTTTATAGATGCAGTGCGTTGAGAGATGAGGATGATGTGTAGAAATCAAGTAACTCCAAATAGGTAAGGTAAGCGTTATTTTTGGCCACAATTTCCAATCATATGGCCTCCATTTTTTCTTTATTCCTGCTGAGCAAATTTGGAGAAAAAGTTCAGTCAAGCCAATTTCTAAAAGTCTGGTCGTTGAATTCAAAGCTAGATTTCAAACTATAATTTTACAGGACTCTGCAACACTATCTTCTAATCAACCAACAATGGATCGATGAGGGAAAACGTTGACTAAAAAATAACCAACACATACAGATTCATTCAACACCAGTGGTACTACACAAAACTTTTGAAATGTTGTAGGACAAGCAGAGAAGAAGCTTATAAAAAAAGGTTATGGATAACCTAGAAAATCAGTGACCAACCCTCAAAGACTTCTGTATATTTTTAATTTATTCCCCTAGATGATTTATTTAGTGTTGTTTGGTTTTAAAATGGGATATAATCACCATTTTCTCAGTATAATTTGAGTTTTAAAAATATATATATTTTCGAAGTGACTGCTTTAAATGATGTGAATGGAAACAGAGCAACAGAAGGGGGCGCCATACACTAAGCAGAAAGAGAAACAGAGAGGGGGGGTGATGTGGATGACCAAACACACAAATGATCAAAACACTGCTTTGAGGATATCTAAACGTTTGCATTTCACCCGTTTAATTCTAATAAATCAACATCCAATAACGTGATATCATAATTCTAGTATAGAAGTGTTTCCTTTCTGGTTTCCAGTTTAGTGTGAGCCCTGAATATTCCAAAATGGGGCTTTTCAGTTCTAAAATGAGTGTTTTCAAAACCTACAATTGATGATGAGTTCACTGAATCAGTCCATCAAAACTAAATGCTCTTATTTCCCGCATTAACACAGGCATAGTTTTGAAAAATGATCCTATTGTTATGGGAACACTATCAAGACACTGTGTCCATCAACATTTCACCTTCTTTGAAGCAGCTACTTATAATGGTTTTGAACAGTTGACTTCAAATATTACAGGTAAAATCAGTTTTTATTGGCTCCCCCTGTTGGAGCACACGCTGACACTGACGCAAGTTGGCTTTAGTTTCCACCACCATGTGTTATCAGAGGTTAACCTTTGATCGGTTATGCAATTCTGAATCATATCTGTGGCACAAATCTCCTCTGATATGTGAATGGGGCGTGAAGTCTTATCAAGGCATTTCCACGGCCTAAAGCATGCCAGCCACTTTGTGTGTAGGCGACATACAACATTTAGGAAGGCCGTAAAATATTGCAAACCTCACTTACACAACAACATAGTGCAAACACACACAATAGAGTGGGACTGCTGACACAATGTGAGTAATTACTTTTCTGTTAATATGTGAAGACATTGCTCAATGATGCCAAAAGCTGTAAAGAGTGGGAAACATGTGGCTGTCTTTGTTGATTCAATTAAATATACTAAACTTGCCACATGTTGAATATCCGGTGCAATGTTTTTTTTCACCACAGGGGAGCACTAAAGCTGCATATCAAGTCACACAGCATGTTAAGGTTATGCAGATTTGTGCACACAGATATTGACCAGAACAGTTATATTCAATATGCTCTCTCTGCCTCAAACATTATATTTGTCCTGCAGTATACCAGGTCTGTTTGTGTTGTTTTTATAACTGTAGTATCCAGGTAAGGTCCACTAAGCCTATCTCAGCAAGAGACATTCACTTTCAAATTACTAGACATCACCATTGTAATGCTGCCTCTGAATCTAAAATCGTATATTGATTAGTAGTCCCATTAGAGAAATTAGGACTTAATGACTTTGCCTCAGAGTAAGACTAGTCATTTTCGAGGGATGAGTGAGTTATTCTGATTGAGTTTCATGTGATGTTAATTTCTCTCTTCCTCAAATGTGTCCCTAAGGATGTAACAGAGAAAATAGCCTACGGGGATCTTGCAAGTCAACAAAACAACAACATGTTGCAAAGGACTCGGAAACTTAACCAAATGAAAGAAAGGAAATAAGGAATCACTAACTGCGAGAGGAAATGTTTTGTGTAAAGCAAATAAAAGAGAATGCCATAAGGACAGCAATCCAATTTAAGGTAGTATTTCCAAAAAGAAAGCAGAATATTTAGGAGAAAGTGTGACAAAACAAATCAATGGTTTGTAGTGTACAGCGTATTGAATTGGAAGATGAATGTATTGATCTGTTTGTATTGAATGAGACGAGCAAGAGACAGAAAGATGGAGCTTTTAACAATGACTGTGAGCCGTGATTAGTTTACACTACTGCAGGGCCAGTTTCAGAATGTGCTCGTGATGGGACAGAGTCATGCAATGTGTTATTCATAACTTGACACTACATGTTTCTCTTCAACAGATACTCTTCAATTTGAATTGCAACATTTTTTCTTTAATTGCACAAAAACAGAGATATCTGCCATATCAGCTACATACAGGGAAACTGAAATCAACTGGAAATGAAATGTCCTCCCATGTATTCAAAACAGGAAACACAAACACTCACCTAAACTCAACCTACAATTGTATCTCCACATGCACTTATACTCCCTCACCACCTCCTGTTGTTTTCTATAGCTTTCTTAAATACTTTTTACGTTACTGATTGTATATTGCTTTTCTCCTGTTGTGTTAAATACATTTTATGTGGCACAACAATATGCTGCAATCAGCAAGTCTCCTGTTGGCTTTGGAATAGAAACTGGAGTAATGATAACTGCAGATTGCTGATAATTGTTCCCTCTTGGAGCAGCCAGGTACACACTCGTAGAAACAAGAATGTAAAAGAAAACACAGACAGACTGGTCCCTAGAAAAATACCTCATATAATGACATAGCTAACTGCAGTCTTGCTCATCCAACCAGACCTCAGGGGGTGGGGGGTGCTAGTGGATCGGAGCTGTTAGATTAACATTAACATGCTTATTGTAGTTGTAAGTGCAATGCCTTGCGGCCTGTAGCAACATCCTTGATGGAGCATATGTGTGTGTGTGGGCTGGAGTAAGCAGAGGGCAGAGTTGTCGATTCTTGTTCTGTTTTCTGTGACTATCTTCCAGACCATGCTGAACACCCTCACAGACTTTCAGTTGCGCGCTACTAAAGAGACGCGCTACCATGGAAACCAAACAATGAAACAGTCGTGAGTAAATCTGATTTTGTCAGAAATCGGGAGAAATGCGGAAGAAATATGACCCCGGGAGGAAACCTGGAGAGGACAATGAAATCGGGAGAGTTGGCAAGTATGTCTCCAGGTTGCCGGTCAGTGTCTTTAACCACTACTCCATTGTCCAAGTTGGTTGATTCCATGATCCAGAGAGACAGTTCACATTTAACAACATCAGAAAAACATCAGATTGAAGCTGAAAATGTTTATTCGAGATAAAAAGTATTCAGACTTCATGACTTAACCTATCAATCCCATCCACACCAGACATGTCCCAGATGAAACACAATAGGAAACTGGAAATTGTCAAAGGCTGAGTCATTAGCTCACTCTGTAGATGCTTGGATTTGGACGCTTAGATAGCTGGTTCAAGCCCAGAATTAATCATAATTCAAACATTTCTGGAGACTTACCTTGTGGCCATATTACAAGGCCCTAGATGCTGTCATAAAAACAACTATAATCACAGCAGCTTTTCAGTTTGCCTGCACACAGCAGGGGTTTGGGGATGAAGAGTCCCTGAGGGTTGTCGGTGAAAAACAGACATGGCTGATCCGCACAGGATTAACATCACCACTGTAGAAATGAAATGACCTCAACTCCCCGACACCAATCCCGTCTGAATGGAGTTTATGAGGTGGCACAAAATGACACGTCAGACATCACTGCAGTTGCCTTAAAGGTGGGGTATGTAATTTATTACAGAAACACTTTTTGTTATATTCCATGGAATGCTCCCGATTGCAATGAATATATTAAATGCTTTGACAATAAATACATAAAAAATGTCATCTGTGGAAGCCGTAGTACTGTAAAAAGCACGACCAATCATTTTAGCCAGCCCGGCTAAAATAACTGGATGGCCTACCTGCCTGTCAGCCTTCCATCTGTGCACAAACTTATCTTGTGCTCTCATTGGTCATGCGCACGTTCGTGTGTGTAGGAGGAGGGGCTCTGTAAGGAAGTGGCAGATTATTTCCGGTTGTGTATTTTCAAATTCTAGCGCACTCGAGCTGGTTTCTCCAAAATGACATACCCCACCTTTAAATAGAGGAGACATATACAGTTGAATTAGGCCCCATCCACACGGAGACGAAACGGAGACGAAAAAGAAATGAACCGAAGTCGATATCGAAAAAGTCTTCCGTCCTCACGGAAACGGCTCAAGCA